CCTACTGTAGGTGCCTTCTTCTTGGTACACAGAAGGATGGAGATTTTTAGAAGCCTATGTTGAGTGATAGGACACTGGTTCCTCTATTTGCACTAGAACAACATTTAATAGAAAATCAATTAGACACGCTCAGGCTGTGTTTTTCTGTAAAAGGATTCCCCCCCTCTAAACCTTACCTGATTTGCATTAGATGGTGATGCTTACAAAGTTAGGAAATTCCCTTTACACGCTGGTTATTAGACCTCAGATGCACTGACACCAGTAATGTATTTCCCCTCGTTTACTCCTAGCTGTTTCACAATCCCAATCCCACAAAACCACTTGGAGTGTTGCACTATACTCCCATTACTGGACTTTTCGCTCCACGCAAGCAAGCAGTCTGTAATCCTTTAACAATTCACAGATTGTGCGTTGGAAAGTATGTGCAAACCTGATTAACTTGCAGGGAAACTTGGAGAAAGAGGGAAAAATCCAAAAACATGCACCAAGATGTGATGTGCAAAACCAGGTTTGTGTGGATTGTAGAGGTAAGCCAAATAACACACTCCTTGTCCAACACAAGCCACATACAGGTGTAAGAAAAGACAGGGAAGTAACTTCAAGTGATTAGCTTTATGAGTTTAATAGCATCCTCACTGCTCATGAAAATATGATTAGTTAAATACATTGGAACACTTTCAGACATAACAACATACTCATTTATATACAGTGTGTATCTTCCACCACAAAACTAATAAGGATTACATAAGACTGTTGGTGCTCTTTGTCTTTAGGTTAAACAATAGCTCTCCAGTGTCTCCAAAAACACTGCCCATGCTTATTTGCAGTGTTGGTGTTGCCCATATCCTGTTGTGCTGCATTTTTAAATTCAAGAACATGCTTGCGAAATGACTCCTCAAAAGCCAGTGCCAACACCGTATGAAATGTTTCCTTATTGTCAACATACCATATGACATATTGGATGACTAATCATCAATGGCTTTGCACAGTAATATTGTAACATTTATCGGAGGTCATTTCATAATTCCTCAGACTTTTTAATTAGTTTGATTCTGATGCCAGTACTAGAATAGCCATCGGAGGTAAATGAGCAAACATAAGCTCCCACTGCCCAAACATTTATCAAGAGGCCAAAATATCACATTATCATTTGTATTAGACATCTCCATGTCATATTCCGGTTCATTTCATTTCATGCCAGTATCTTGTGGTTGTTCAATTGAATCTTTCAAGGCTTTGCTTCCTTGAGATGTGACTCATATCTGTTTTTTTGGGGTTTTTTTCACGACAGCGTGAACAGCACAAATCTGATATTTTAAATTCTTTCATACGTGGTCAAAATCAGATACAGCTCAGATTTGTTTTGCAGTGTGAACAGAATTCAGGTGACTTTTATCTCGCTCTAGATTGACATTTGTCACGCAGGTCACTCCAGGACCTGTTCACACTGAAATCTGATATGGACCACATTCGCAAAATAATGGGAACACAAAAAAATCAGATCTGAGCAATTAAACAACTGAATTTAGCGCTAAGGCTTGCAGTGTAAACATAGCCTCATTCACAGCAGCTTGTGTTGTTATTGTGAGTTTTCTCTCAGTGCTACTTCCAGTTTTCCAGGCTGACAGTTATATCTTTAGTCCAAAAGGTCCCGGATTAGCTTGGAATGTAAATAAACAACAAGCCACAACAAGAACACACAACTCTGTATGTGCTTCACTGTTTCTATTTCTGGCATATTCAAGTTTTTATATACCTCAAGTCACACTGCCTGCTCGGTGTGTGCCTTGAGTTCTGATCTTTTACAGCACTTTTGTAACCATAAAATACTCACTCAACGAACACAATAATGACAGAGGAGCTAACTAAAGAAAAGTCCTCTTTAACTGTAGGATCTCATGAGGCTTGCTCCTAAAATATACTGTATGATCTAAAGATCCCAAGGCCAACTGCCTCTGCATAAACACAGTGGGCCTCAGACGAGCAGAGAACACAGAGACTTTTGCCTGGCTTAACACATCTGGATGAATAGAGCGGCGTGTGCCCTTTCAGAAACACGTGGGACAACTCTCCCTCTTACTGCTATGCCACTGGGAGAGGACGGCTCTCAAACCACATTCCTGTTATTGTTATTCTAATTAGCTTCCAGAAAAAAAGGAGGAAAAAAAAAATGATGTGTGCATGCACACATACACACTCGCACACTGCAAAAGCTTATTTGCAGTGTGAGCAGGAGGCGAAGCAAAGCGGTGTGGTGGCGGGGGGTAGAGTCAGAGCAGCCGTGTGTGAGATAGAGGCCCTGATGTCTCCCAAGGATTCAGCCAAGGCATGGGGTGAAATGGCAAAATAATCAAGAGGGCAGGCGGGAGGGAGCCCAGGGGAAGCTCAGCCTTCACACACAGTCGTCATGAGAATATCTTTAAGAGCACCTCCACATTCTCCTCATCCTAACACCGCTGCCTTTATGTGACAGCTGTGCACATAAATACAGACAGGGCCATAAACAAAAACAATTACTCTGGCAACTGCAATCCAAATTTTATAAAATGCGGAGGAAATTAAACCGATGTCACACCTGACACAGCACAGCATACGGCATTCAAATGTAATGTCTGTGTTACTACATTTACTGCGACAATATTACACTCATAAAACTTAAATCCTGTGGCACAAAATAATACTGAACCACTCAGTGATATGTCACAGTGTAAAAGGGGAGATACAGTACTCACAGAAGTGTGAGTAGAAACAAAGAAAAGGTTTGTTTTCAAATAACAAGAACTGTTGCAATTGATAAAACACATTTCTTAATCAATATGCACCCTGCAGCATTGATCTAATAAATAAGAACTAACACTAGCTTCATTTCTGACTAAATGGATACAGATCATGCCAACAAGCAGGCGCCGTTGCCAGCCCTAAAGGAAAATAAGCACTAGGATGTGAAATTCCAGGCGATGGGAACCCAGACAAGCTCTGAACATATTCCTTAATCCCTAGTGATTATTTCAAAGTAATCCAGAATCTAATTTCTTTTCAACTTCCAGCTTTAACGGAATGTGAAAGAAAGTATCTCTCTACTTCTCTTATTTCTTTATAGTTGCATCACAGTCTCCACTTCTTTAATTTTCTTTCACTGCTCCAGACGCTAGTTATTGATCAAACCCATTCAGCTTGCTTTCCTCCAATATCATCCAGTTTTAAGTCTGTTTATACACTATAAGTAGAAGCAGAAGAGAGTTAGCTAGATTCAAAAGCAGAATTATTTGTCATTTGTAAATTTCATCGTTGCCCCGAACACCAGAGGCATCGAAGAGCGTGTGTCTTTCATTGCATGATTACAAGCTTGGCAGACAATTTACAATAGTAGGGCTAAATGCCGCAGGGTCAGAGAGAAAGGCAGCCGAAAACCTCAGCATGCTATTTCTCGATATGAGCCCTAGCCCCTGATACCGCTGAGCCCTGGAGTGATGCCAGGACAGTGATTTGAAGAATTCCTCTGGTTTTTGTGGCTCTGGAAGTGCCCCTTTTACAGGAAATGTGACATGAGCCAGCGTATACAAAGATCAGAAAAGAAGCAGTTGTGGCTTCTATGATCCAGCTCTACAGCTGGCAACTGTCAGTGGACACAAACCTCCTTACTTGCTACACATGACCTCTTGGACCTCATGTTGCTTTTGAGGAAGGGATGAGCTCCAGCAAACACTTCTCCAGCAAATAAAAAGTAAGGGAAGACCTACATCTGTGATACTGTAAACCTCCAACATGGATACACAGATATCGGTTATCCTGACAGTCTGTTGTATGCCAGACTGCCATGTTCACCAACATCCTCCCCCCACTAACGGCTTAATCTGGCCTCCCCCACCACCAATGGTTGTAGCTACCTCATTAATGCCCAATCGTCCAGCTCGGGGACTATTGTCGGAGGGGGAGGGAGCCCAATGCTTGAATTCCGCAAAGCAATTTGAATATGTAATGTGCCAGCCGAGATATAATCACCAAATCCTATTCAGTGATTAAAGTACACTTAAATTGCACTCACTTAACATTGCTTCACAGAAAGACTCTCATGAGCAGGTTAATCTGCTGCTCATTTTACAGATGTTTCATTACATGTTTACATATATTAATTGTGTTTTGGACATTGTGCGGCTGCCTAGATACAAATACCACCGTTCATGTATCATTCCTGTATTTCAAATCTTTCATGTCTGCACAGAGACAACAGGCATGGAGACATGGGGGCTCCCTGGGGTTCGTCAACTCCCCTACCTCCTCCCCCTCCACGAACAAAGCTTCCCCAGTTGCGAGCCTGACCCAGTAACCTGGCTAGCAGCCTGGGGGTATAGCGCACCCTGTCTTAGGGCTTCCAGGGCCCGTGTGAGTACACAGGGCCAGCATTTGTGTACAGAGCAAAGTCACTTTCGTCAATGCAATCGGCTCTTGCAGGGATTAGAACAGCTCCTTTTAGATAGGGCTGATTGTGTGGTAAATGTGTAGTAGCCTAGCAGGCAGAGCCAGGGAGGGTGTAATAGTGGCCCGGCTAATCTGGCCGGACACAGGCATCTTTCTTCATAGGCGCTTCGCAGGAATGCCCTCTTGCTTTCAGAACCAAGTGTTTTAGTAGATTATGTACCTCTTCTCTGTATATACATATACAGTCTAGGATATAACTGAACAATGACACATTTCCCTCACGCTTTGGGCTCCGCTAAAAAGCATCCATATTCTCCGTTACTGGATCTTTCAGCTTTTATGATTTAAGTAATAAAACAGTAAAATCAAACAAACTAAATCCACTGACTGAAATGACGCTATATGACGCTCGGAAAGTCACAAGGCAGAGCTCTTTATGGATGCATGCATGTGCTTATTGAATGCTTAAGAAGCACATAAGATGTGCAGAGGAACTGTCACAAGTGCACTCCAGAGCAAATCAGAACTAATTAGAGCATTTAATTTCTGAGGCATTAGGGAAAGTATGCAAAACTTCTTACCCCCTGGCTCCCCTTGAAGCAAATCGCCGGCTGATTTGATAGTGATGCCTGAGGAGAGAGAGGGAGAAAAAAAGAAAAATCTGGTCAGGAATCATGTTCATGTTTAATCTAATGGACAGCTCATACATTATGAGTGAAAATTATTACTATTGTTCCTGCTCTGCTTCATGGGTTTCTCTGGAAATAAGCAGTCAGGATTGATAGACTTTATTGGAATTCCTTTGTTACAAGGCTTGGTAAACTTTTCTAATTAAAATACATTGCCATAATTGCCATTTCCCATCAAGCTTTGCCCTTGTGAATTACTGTCAAATTTCTGTATCATTGAGTCTACAGATCAGGGGTGTCTGGCTCTAATATTCAGAGGATTGAGTGCGATCAATCGATCTATAACCTATAGAAATCTTTGCACATGTCAATCAGGTTGTGTGTGTTTCAGTTGATTTCCCCTCTAAATTATTAAATGAATAAACGCTGTAGATCCCAAAGGAAAGAAAAAAGCTCCTTCTGAAACCAATTATATTTCTTTAAAAAGGGTATTTTTTATTTGCCCTCTGTGCTGTAGTTTCTAACTGTGCTGATCTCCAAGACCACAGTGTACCTGGCTTAAGCTCTCAAACATCATATTGTTTCTTTCCCCCCTACTGATAAAGAAATATTAAAACCAAAAAAAAATCTGCCTCTGAGGCAACATGATACATGGTTAATAGATGGAGACTATTATCTATGAAGTACAGCTGTGCCTGTGATTGACAGCGCTCTTTATTTATTATTAATGGTTTTGGGAAATGTCTTCCCTGTTGAGGAGCATTGTTGTGATTTTCTTCATCATCCGTTAGCTTTTAATATTGAATGAAATGATAAATATTAAAGCACATAATGTTTGTTACACATTATAAACACAGCCGTAGGGCTAAGTCAGAATTTACTAACTTAAAGGTCTTAAAGGAGTATTCACAAGAGCTGAAACAATTAGTCAATTAATTGGTGCCACTTTCTAATAAGGCACCTCGTATGGGGGCTTTACTGAAATCGTTAGTTGATTAGTTAATAGCTGTTCATAAAAATGTCACTTTTTCGGTTTGCCAGGATCTGAAAAATCCCTTTGCACCCTCCTCTAGCTGGAGAATTGGAATCACAATCCATTTATTGGCAACCTACCTGCAGATATGAAAGCTTATTAGTGTTTATTAACAGATTACCAACATGTATAACTGCATTACCAGAAATAATAAACACCAGCCAATGTTTTTTATTTTTTATTTTTTTTACAACCTGGCAACCTCAATGAGTTTTGACTGATCTATATAGCTTTAGTAGATAACCATTAACCATCGATTAATGAAGTCATCACTTACAATAAAAAAAACTCTTTATATAAATGGTGCCTTAAAAAGTAGTACATATAGTAGATCAACAGAAAATTATTCAGCAAATATTTAAATAATTAATCAGTTGTCATTATAATTTTTATATTTTCAATAGTTCTGACTTTTAAAATATGAATATTAGCTGTTTTATAACTCTTCTATAATAGTAGATTAAATATATTTAGGCTTTGTGTAATTGTGATTGTGGTATTTTTCGATTAGTTCAGAAAAAATTAGAATATAAATCATTAGTTGCACTCCTAATTTCATACAAAGTCTGTGGAATTTAATATATAAGAACTTTTTATTTTATGTTTCACAAGTCCCTCTCCTCACCTACAACACAGACATGAAAATCATTTAAAAGAAAATCATATCTAATACAGAAACTCTTTCAGGCTGAGTTTCCTGAGGACAAAATCTTCCACACACCAAAGTGAGAGTCCTGCGGTCCAAAAACAGTATTTTTTGGGGTGGGGGGTGGTGGTCTTCGACTTGGAAAACTTTTGCAGTAACCTCTCCTGCCTGCCTTGGCCTGGAGGAAGCTGTCAGTATGTGTACTCTGCTTCACAGACCAATGAGCTCCGGAGCTGGGCGGGCTTCCAGGCGTGTAAAAGGCAAAAAACAATAATACACAAGAGCCCAGCAACAACTTGCCGAGCCTTGCCACCGAGTCCGGACTACACAGCTGAACCACCGATTCCCACATCCAGGGGGAATAAAAAAAAACAAAAAAAAACGCGTCCTAACTGTGGGAAAGAACATTTGGGCAGACTAAATTATCTCGGTCTAATCTAATGGACCATAAAAGCAATAAAACATTCTCCCGATTCAGAGGAGTCGAATAATTTGCTTGATAGCGTGTTCATTAATTTATTCCCGAGAGCGAAACGAGCAGGGGAAAAAAACAGCCTTAAAAAACCACACACACACACAAAAAAAAACATTTAATGACTGACATTCATCTGTGCTCGACCATAATCTAAATAATGAACTTCACATGTATGTATGTACAGAGACAACAGCAGACTTTTAAAGCTATGGTACAATCACAAACCTCAGTCATATGGGGGACTTTAATACCTTTTGGGGGTTTTCGGGAGATTACGCTTTGGTAAACAAGCAGACACGCACAATTTCAAATAGCCTGAGCCTCTCCTTTTTTCTTTCTTCTCAAAACACATTTCACTCGGGGCTTATTGGAGAATTTAACGAAATCCCTTCATTCATCAAAGTCTATTGAATTGCCTGTTATGATCACAATAAATCAAGCCTTTGCTTGCCTTCTACTGTATCGCAGCTAGAATAAACCAACAACACACGCAACGTATCAGCCACCAACGCTCAGAACATTTCAGCTACTGAACTATTTCTACTTTTTTTCTGTTTCTCCAACCAAAGGGAAGAACAGATCTACAGTCTCCAGTAGGGATTTTACAGTTCCCGGAGTTTGGGAGGCGATTTGAAAATGAAAATATAGCTGGAAAAAACACACGCAAGCTCCAAAATCCAACCCGATAAATTGTCTTACCTTCAGGTTCTGGTAGGCTTCCAGGGTCCGGATGGCAGTGTCAGTGAGTTTGACGTGGTAGAGAGTTTGATTCGGGGTGTTTTTGTTGATTTTGCCACAGGAGAGCCCATACCGATGCTCCTGTCTCAGCGCTGCCATTTCTACAACTGAACCGAAAACTATTGGCGACATTCTGCCTGAAACGTCACGGAGGAGAGCGCGTGGGGGCGGAGCTAACGCGCGCACGCACATGCACGCGCACGCACGTAAACACACACATATACCGACACAGGAAGTACGAGGAAAAGAAACTGTTGTACTTTCGCTTTGCAGGTTACTCCCGTTGGTCGTTTAGTTATTTATCTTGTTGTCTTTTATCTATTTTTTTTGTTTTGTTCTGGGGTTGGTCCAGGCTGCAACTAGATTTTTGGTAACAAATGGTACATTTTGACAACACACACACACACACA